TCTCACCCTTCGTCTCGATCCCTAAACTAATCGCTCTCGCCGCCCGATCCTAAACTAATCGCTTCGGCTGCACCGGGCGCCCGAAGAGATCCGCGAGCTCCGTCTCGCCCGATCCTAAACTAATCGCCTCGCCAGATGACTCTGTCTCAACTAAAATGCACACACAACATCTGTCAGAGATCCACGAGCTTCACGACAAAAAACCCCCAGGCAATCCTCCCCGAATCGCCCAGGGGCTCGAAGACACTAACGCACACAGGCTGCGCGCAGCGCGAGCTCCGCGCTAAGCTACCGCCACGATGACTCTCTCTCAACTAAAATGAACACCCTCCCGACAAAAACCCCAGCAACATGAAACCCCCCAGGCTCAGATTACATTTGCGCCGCGCTCGCCGGGGCTCGGGGAAACTACACCGCCGTCGTCAAGGCAAAAATCCCCCAAACGATTCTACCCAAATAGCCCGGGGGCTCGGGGGCTCCCGTCGGGTTCATAAACCCGGGGTCCCTCAGGGACCGGCTTCCCAGCAAAGGCTCGGCCCAGCAAACAACGTTGCAAACCAACGCGCAACTCTTGGGCCGGCCCAAGTACCTAAAACAACAGGCCAGAAGGGCGATCCAATCTTCGACCGAAAGGCCAGGAAGAGGAGGAACGACGCCCGCTTCTGACTCCGGCCGCCTCTCCGACCGGAGCGCTCGCTTCGGTCTCTAGCCTCCTCCGAACGGCCTCTTCGACCCGAAGACCTGGCCAAAACACCACTTCTAACTCCGACCCGCTTCTCCGACCGGGAAAACGCCGAACCTCTACTTACAGCTCCTCTCCGACCGGCGCAACCAGAACCGACTGGGACCAACCGACCGGGGACGGCCGCTCGGTAAGGACCAGGAAAACGGATGGAGAAAGTAGGGCAGGGCGCACAAGTCAAACCGCAATACCAGAGACCGTACCCTTTGCACCTGCCAGACAGTACCTTGCGACCCTCCTGGCACAACAGAACCCAAGCAGTGTTGTAGGCGCCAGACATTTTCCGTAACAGTGTTGTGGGCGTCATCAACTCCCATACCAAACAAGTACGATAAGGCTCCCCCCGCGTGCCTCTGATGCATCGACAATGTTGTGAGCGCCGGCATTTACCGTGCCAGGCGAACATGGTAAAACCTCATGTATGCCTCTCGGCATCAACAGTATGGCAGGCACCGACGTTTGCCATACCAGAAGAAGACGACGCAACCTCCCACGTGCATCTGACATTAAACAATATTGTGGGCGCCTATCATCATCTTGTACCCATCGGCGTGGGCAATAAAACTTAGTAAGCATACGCACTCTCTCCCTCTCACTTGTAAGGCCATCCCCTTCATCTATAAAAGGGGATACACTCTCTCCAACACAACTCAGTTGATTCAGATCGATCAAGTTCACTAATACACAACAACAGAACCATTAGGTTCAAACCACAAGCACATGCTCGAACACTTAGCACATAGCGGAACTCCCGTCACTCTTGACCCCTCTGACCAGAGTCCGCCCGGACCTCTTGTACCCCCTATCTTTCTCCTTCTCGTTTGTACCCCACTACAAACTTCGAGCACCTGGGCTCAGGAATAAAGTCACCGACTGACTCAAACTGGACGTAGGGCACGTTGCCTGAACCAGTATAAACCCTGTGTCATTGAGTGCTATGCCACCTCCGATCACAACGTACGGTAAAACTACAAATATTTACGTGTTGGTCACTTTCTGCACCGACACCTTTAATTGTTGTAAACTTGTGTTGAGCTTCGACTGTTGTCTATAGATCTGCTTGACCCATAGTAGGAGAAAATGTTTGATTAGGGATTTGATTTTGCATGTGTTAAGCTTTGCCTGTTGTGTTGCAGATCTGCTTGACTTGTAATAGGAGAAAATGTTTGATTGTTTTTTTTATTTTGCTTGTATTCATCTCTGCCTGTTGTTTATAGTTGATTCATATGAAAAAAATGTTTTGTTGGGGCTTTGATTTTGCTTTGTGGATCTTTTCGCTGATTGTTATAGTCAGTGACCGAGATGGAACTGAACAAATCAACGTTGTATTTTCCTCAGCCTTGAGAGTTCTCAGAAACTGATTGGTCTTGATTTTTTTTTTTGTAACTAAAATTAGAGATACATCAGGGCAGCGAAAAAAGTGACCGAGATGCTCATATGTACAACAATATTCTCAAATCGGTGTCTTTCCATGGTCGAAAAAGTGACGTAGTTCATTTTGGCTTTATTTTAGATCAAATTTCTTTAACTTTAACCAACTTTATAAAAATTGCACCAGCATCTAAGAAATCAAATCTATTTCATTAGTTTTTCATATAATATATTTTGAAAGTGTATTTATTTAAACTTGTACAGATACTAATATATGACTAGTCAAAATTAGAGAGTTTTGATTTAATGAAAAGCTAAACTGAATTATAATTTAGAATAAAGGAGTAAGTAGTCGTGACACCTCCTGTACCAACGTTGTCCTTCTGTTTAACTTCACCCCTTGCTGCAGGATTTGCAGTAGGCTGAGCATGCAAGTGCGAAACCCACCTGATGAACCCTGAACCTGACTGAACACAGGAGGCGAGAGAATGCAAATTAAAGCGTGGTGATTACTTGTCCCTGGCCCTGTCGCAGGCCGTAAAAGCTCGCGTTTGTTGTTAATCATTTTGGGCCTGGACCCTGGAGGTCGGTCCTGGACGCCTTCTTGAATCTTGATTGCTTCGACGAACATCGGGCCTGTTTTGTTGCCAGCTACCACTTGCCACGTCTAACGTTAGGTACAAGCCACACTCGTGGCTAGCTATATTCTGTGATAAATTTAGAATGTTTGGTTAACAATTAAGATGTAGCAAAAACAATGTGGCAACTGTTTGGTTTATGATTACAAATGTGGTAATCGACAGCCATATATTGGTCAAAATAATGCGTGTCCACTGGTATATTTGATAAAAAGTGATAGTATTACTGTATGGTTTGAATTGAATCATATTATGCTAAATCAGATTAAACTAATAAGTAAAAAATAATAGCCTAGACATAAATTGAGTTGGCCTCATTTAAAAAATCTCAAACGCATGCTTTATCCTTGAGGAATGGATAAGTCTTATCCTTGAGCCATGGACCAACCGCCCGCTGCTCTCTTAGATGGCCAGACCAATCAGACTGTAGCTACGGCGTACGGCTCCGGTCGCTGCTCTTCCAGCCTCCGCAGTCGTGCTCGCCCTCTCTCTCGTCGCTGGCTCTCCTGCTGACGCCCTCCCGGGTCCCGGCCGCCGCTCACGCTCCTGCTCACCCTTCTGCTCCGCGTGCTACTGCTTCAGCGTCCTCGCAGGCAAGGGCGACCTCGCGATGGGCTTCGCGTCCAGGCGCTTTCCGGGGGGGCAGGGAGGGGCAGGCAGCGCGGCATGTCCGTGGCACAGGAGGTGTGGCGGGAGAGGAGCTTGTGGTGGAGGCGGAGAAATACCCGCCACACATTCGACCTCAAAAGCTATGGCGAATGCTTCTCGTGGCTGTGGCGAGCCTAACCTCAATACTCAACCAAACACCAGCCTAAGTAGTTGTGGCAGAGAAAATCGGGATTTTGCCTTTATGGGGAGTGACCTTCGCCCAAATGCCATTCATTTTGTGGGCTTCGCTGAAATGCCCTTATGAAACGAGTCCAACACGCTACAATGCCATTTCGAGGTTTAAGTTGACTTTAAAAAAATTTGAGCCAAAATTTTAGCCTTCAGTGAGCATTTTGCCCCTGAGGTCGCTGACCTATTCCCTACGCTGTCATCTCTCCCCCTCTCGCTGTTCTCTCGCTGGAGTGAACGGCAGAGCGCCGCGCCCCCGGGCCGAGCCTCGTCGCCGCCATCCGCCCCCAAGACGCTCCCTGCTCCAAGTGAAGGCTAGCCCATCGGCGCCGTCTAGAGCAGGTCCCCGCTCTCCCCATCGCTGGATCTGCGGCCGCTGCTCTTGGCCGTCTGGGTGCTCTTCCCCGGGCGAAGGCGGCCCCAGGCAAGCCGCCCGTCCGCGCCTCCCTGCGTCACGCCAGGCTATGGGTGAGGGTTCGTCTAGTTCGTCGTTCATCTCAACAGGTGCCGTTTCTCTGTATCTACTTGGCCCTAGTGGGATCCCCCTGATTCCATGCCCAGAATGTGGTGATAAAGTAGTGGAATGCAAATCCTGGAAGAACAACGGCAGAATTTTCTTCAAATGCGTAAACTACAATGAATTTGTGAGTATATATTGCTCTGTTGTTTATTGTCATATAGAACTGGATGAACTAGGTACTGTGTCAAGGTTTGGATAAATAAACAGTGTTATGTATTGTCATTTCCACAGGCGGTGAAGAAATATCCATTCTTTAGGTGGTTGGAAGAGTACAAGAAAGTAGTCGCAAAGAAGCTTAAAGAAGATTTGCTAGCTGCAGTGCTATTAGAAGGTCATGGTGAAACTAAATGTCAAGAAGAAATGAAGCTTAAAAGCAGGATTTTTGATGATAGGATCTATCTCAAGATGGACAAGCTTATCGATCTGGTCCAGCTGTTGGTGGTGCTCTGTTTAGTCATGACTGTCATAGTTCTTTTAGGTGTGGTAGTGCTTATTAGCAAGTGAAGCAAGATTGTGTTCTAGAACTATGTTGTATCAGTACTGATTAGTTAGCTTTTGCAGTTAGTCATACCTGTTGTCAAAACAAGCCCTAGCTGTGGTAATAAAATGTCAGATCGATAATTTTTTCCTCTGTCTTTTTTTTCTTTGAATAACTATTGCCAGTAACACCAAGGGCTTTTGGTTATATATATCAGACATCAAGGTTCATGTAATTCCCTTGTACAGTTTGTACATCATTCTCATCCTGCTGCTCAACCATGTCTCTGTTACTTGTAACATTGATATCTTCAGAAGCCAAATTCGCAATGAGTTCTTCAATCTTATCCTTTTCTTCAGTACTACTCATGCTTTGTACAGCACTTATCTTGTAAGAAGTGATGTCTCCAATACTTTATTCATTCTGCTCATTCTCATTCTCATCCTGCTGCCCAACCATGTCCTCTGTAAGGTTAGCTGTGGCACCAGCAGCAGGTACTTGATAGCTCAACTAATACATATTCTGTCAACTACTCATACAAAGTTACTATACAGAGATATGCATTCTGTCAACTACTCATACACTCATACAATAGAGACATGCATTCTATCAACTACTCATACACAATTACTATACAACTCATACACATTCTGTCAACTAATCATGCATTAACACTTTATCAGAATGCAAGTACAACAGAGACATTACTTGATAGCTCAACTAACCAAAATCAAAGTAGATTTCATAAAGGACCAATAACATTCTATAAAGGTTCATAAAGGACCAATAACATTCCATAAAGGTTCACACAATACCTTACAACAGTCGGCATTACATGTCCACATATATTACAGTAGAGTTTTTCAAAAGCCAGCTCATTACATGTTCACATCTCAGTTCGTCTTCAACTTCCTTGGAATCAACTTCTTCGCTATTCCCTTCTTTGGTTTTGGTGAAGTTGTAGCCTACTTGTTTGGCGATAAATGTAGTACCTTCTTTGGTTTTGCTGAAGTTGTAGGCTTGTTATTTAGCAATGTACTTGGCCCTTCTCCAAGTAGTACAGCTAGCCGGCTGCAACATGAAAGAATTGTTGACAAAAGATGAAATCATTCATGAAAGAATAAGTTCAGCTTTCTGTAAACATGAAATACCTTCTAGTCAACCTTTCTGGACTTGTTGACAAAAGATTGGCCTTAGCTGTGGCAACTTGTTCAGCTTGGACGACAACATCTTGAGACTATGTGGCAACTTGTTCAGCAAAGACAACAAGAGATGATCGACTGTCATATTTCCCAATTCTCAAATGTGTACATACCCAATTCTCGATCAGACAAAGAAAGCAAGATGTCGGCCTATCTGAAGACATTCTCACTGTCTGACACCATTATCGACTATACAGATTTTTTTTTCAGTTTTTTACCATTCTTCCCATACTTGGTTGTATTTTTGTCCTAGGCTTTCTTTTCTTGTAAGTTAGAATAATTTAGGCACTTATAGCTTGTTTGTCCCATTTAGTAGATGTAAGTTACAAAACTAAAGAAATCAGTACCTTTTCTTTGTCCCATTTAGGCGGCACTTGTAGCTTGTTTCTCCATGACCCAATTCTCCACAGCCCTTGCACATTCTTTTCCCTTTTCCCAATTACCAAATGCAACAGGATACATCTAATTGTGTCCATCTAGAGCAGTGGCTGCTGCTAAGTGTCCACACCATCTACCATTCAATGCAGTGGAGTCTATACTAAGGTAAGGCCTACATCCCTCTAGAAAACCCTCAATACAAGGACTTAAAGCACAAAAGAACCTGTGAAAGTGTATCTTGCCATCAACCATCTTGATGTCAATCTCAGTGACACTGTTTGGTGAGTGCTTCAGAACCTCTGCCCTCCAATTGTACATTATTTGGAAGCTTTCCTCCCAGCTACCAAACAACTCTTTCATTGCAATCTACCTCCCCTTCCAAATGGTGTCATAGTGAATCTCACATTTGTGGTCGTCTTGCAGCTGCTTCTTCAATTCTTTTATGCCCATATTTGGGTCCTTCCTGAGGTGCTTGATACCCCTTGAAGCAACCCAGGCATCAGTGGGTGTAGTAGTAAGTCTCCTCGCACTAGATGAATAATTATGTTGATCAATCAGAGCTGTAACCTGCATTGTTACAGAAATTAGAACATTGCCATGACTCAAAAAAAGAAGTCATATTCATATAACAAAAAAATTCTTTATACCATAACAATTTTTGAATGACGTTGTTTTCAACCATTAATATGCCAAGGGCAATCTGGTGCCATGCACTTCCCAATAAACCTCTCTGTGTCTGTTTTCACAGTGTGTAGTGCAAACTCTTTATTAATGGCAAACTGCCTCACCGCCAATCTAAACTCAACCATGTTGGGGTACACAGTGCCAATATCCATGCATGGTTTGTTAGGGTCATACACCATCACCCTCTCCTCTGGTATTGCATCATCAACAGGGATAGCTGCACCACTAGTGTCAACATCAGGGACTGTACTACCATTGTTTGCAGTTGCCTGATCCTCATTTGAAGTACCATCAACAGCACCCTGGACATGATCATCATCGGTTCTCAGGCCCAGCAAATGATACAACTCGTCCTCATCGATAATTTCTAACCATCCTTCCCCTTCATCGTCTTGCCTTTCCTCCATCCGTAATTCATCCCAATTAACGACATGTCCCTGTGGCTATTCTAGAATGCCACCATCTACATGCACTAAACTAAGCTCAGGCTCCGCATCGAGCCTAAAAAACACCCATTACAGAGTTAGAACACTACACGCATACGAGATCCACGCATACCATACAACAAAAAGTAAATAATGATGCATACCCGGTAACTACATCACTCCGATTGCAATCCATAGCACAAGCACATAAGAGAGTCAATGTTTCCTACTCCTATAAAACCCTAAGTTAACACTATACCCATTGAATCCACAAATCAATCCTGAATAAGGGCGCCTTGAAGCCTCCCCTTAGTTCTGCAGGGTTGGCCTAATGACGCGCGGTCGGGCGACGGTGGCCTGACGTGGACGGGCGGCTTGGCTAGGGCCGCCTTCGCCTGGGGAAGAGCACCCGGACAGCCAGGAGCAGCGGCCACAGATCCAGCGACGGCGAGAGCGGGGACCTGCTCTAGGCGGCGCCGGTGGGATAGCCTTCGCCTAGGGCAGGGAGCGTCTTGGGGGCGGATGGCGGAGGCGAGGCTCGCCCTGGGGGCGCGGCGCGGGGGTGGGGGCGTCGCTCTGCCTTTCACTCCAATGAGAGAACAGCAAGAGGGGGAGAGATGACAGCGCAGGGAATATGTCAGCGACCTTAGGGGCAAAATGGTCACTGAAGGCTAAAATTTTGGCTCAAAATTTTTTAAAGTCGACTTAAACCTCGAAATGGCATTATAGCGTGTTGGACTCGTTTCATAAGGGCATTTCAGCGAAGCCCACAAAATGGATGGCATTTTGGCGAAGCCCACTCCCCATAAGGGCAAAATCCCGATTTTCTCGTTGTGGCAACCCTAACTTAAGGTGTGGCAGATTGCGGTGGGCAACCAAACAGCCTCGTCATCTCACGTCCGGCCCCTGGTTAAGCTGTCGCTTTGGCCAATCCCTCTCTCCACTCAAACAAAGTCCCCCATGGCCACTCTGACGATGCGTGCAGCAGACAATCCAGTTACTGGGGCACTTAAAGCCTCCCACTAAGACTGACTCCACCAGCGTAACCCAAATCGAATACCCATTTCACCGTTTAGGTAACACATAGTGCAGAAAGCTACGCACCCCATTCTTGACCACTCCAACGGATGAGCCCCAAATCCCGCAAAAAAAATATCCGTGGTGCAGAGGCGCTGGTGGGCCCGGGCGCGGGCAGGGCCCGGCGGCGCTCTCTCCTTCGTCAACTCCTCCCACAGCGGCCCGCCTCCTCCACTCCACTCCTCCCCAAATTCACCTCGCCATGCCGCGCCGCTCTAGGAGCTCCTCGCCTCGAGCCCGCCTCGCCCCGCCGGCCGCGCTCCGCTGCGGATCCACCTCGCCGAGTCGAGCCGGCGGCGCGACGGTCGCAAGAAGGGACACCTCCCCTAGCTCCGGTTCTACAACGAGCACACCTTGGCTGATGCCGCTACTGCTTTTCCTAGATGCCAGCTTCGGTGGGAGAACGGGGAGCGGGAGGAGAACCCCACCGGCGAAGAGCTCGTCGGCGCAGGGGGCAAGGTGGTGGGGTTGGGGTGGAGTGGCTAGAACTCGAACTCCACGGAGGAAGACGCGCTGCTGCTGCTCCTTGCCCCAGCGGCGTCCATTGCTACCTGGGAGTGGGAGGAGCCGGCCGCTGTCTTCTTGCTCCGATTGCTTTGGCTCGCTGCGAGGTGGGGGAAGGGGAAGGGGAAGGGGAAGCGGAGGGGAGAGGAAGGTGGGGAGGTGGCAGCGTGTGGCTTTGTTTGCATTGTCTCTCTTCGGCGACATAGATTTGCCAACCAAATCGCCGAGTACCCAGAATGGGTATCCAGGGACGGACCCACAGGGTATGCAGGGTGGGCCACCGCATACCCTAGGGTCTAGGTGTAAGTGAACCAGTATACAAATTTTTATGTAAGAAAAAAAGAAAAAAAAAGGTTACTACCTCGTAGACACGCCCAAGTACCCGACGCCTCCCTAGCTGTTCGGCTTCTGTGCGGGCACGCGAACTCGCGCATACGGCGCTCGGCGCAGTTACTCCACTCCACCTGGCTCAAAACCCCACCGGTCCCACGCATTGACTCACGCGCATGCGCACCTCCTGCAACCATCCCGCTGGATCGTCGCAACTCGCAAGCGGCAGAGTCGAATCTGCGCGGTCACGCCGACGCCATCACGGAACGACGCCACGCGCCCACCGCCCATGCGGCCACGACGGTCGCCGACTCGCCAGACTCGGAGGCGCGGCCGCGGCGAAGCCCGACGCCGGAGGGCCTGCAACGTTATCGTCTCGGCCGGCTGTTGCTCGGAGAGATACTGAGATGCACAGCGGCAGGCAGGTTTAAGATTAATCTTCTATTCTTCTTCTTACTTGTGTACTTAAATAGTTTTAATTATTAATGTATGAGTCATTTTTTTCTAGTTCGTGAGTTCATTCATCCGCATCACTGCATCAGATCAATAATTAGCATCCGGTCATTAGTCCATCATATCCTGTCTTCCGTCCTGGACTCTTGTCGACGAAATATGGTCGGCAGTCTACCTAGGGGTATACCCAAGGTAGTAGATTGTCGGTAGACATATGCGCAAGCCACAAACAAGACGGTGACGCAAGACAGACACAAGGTTTTATCCAGGTTCGACCACCAAGAAGGCGTAATACCTACGTCCTGCGTCTGATTTGTATTGTTGTATGTCAATGAGAGATGTTTTTTAGAGGAGTCCCCTGCCCGCCTTATATAGTTCGGGGGGCAAGGTTACAGATCTGGAAACTAATCCTAGCTAGTTACAATTGCCATATGTGGCCGGATAAGGATTCCTATTCTAACCGACCAGGATCTTGATTGATCGCCAAATCCACCTTGACTCCTTGCGCGGGACTCCGATCAGGTTAACCGGGCCGCACGTCGTCTTTTGGTGGACCGGACCCACCGATCCGGGCCGGCCCAAGCTTAGCCATAAGGGTATAGGGGTTAATACCCCCACAGCTAGTCCCCGAGCACCATGTATTATGCTGCGACACGCCATTTTAACCTTCTCCGACAAGTAAGGCTTGAGTCCTTGACGTCTCTTACCACCGTTGTTGCCGGAGAAGTCGGTTGTCCGAAGAATATATGGTGCTCTTAAGAAAAAAGAAAAAGATTTTCGTCCTGGGAAGTGTACCCACTTGTATTTCTAAACAGAAATGTAAGTGCGTCTCGGAGCGTAGCGTCCTTGATCATCAGAGGCGAGGGGTCAAAAACAAACACATTCACCACAAGGTGAAGTGTGCTCACTTAGTCCCCGAGCATTCCTGGTAGTAGGTGACGTGAGGCACGCAGCGCGTGGTGCGAAGTCTAAAAAGAATTCCCGATTAAGTTGAGAAGCGAATCGTCAATGGGTGACAAGCGATACAAGATGCACGGCGGCAGCATCGCATCGTCGATGTAGTCCCCGAGCTTATAGGAAGGCGAGGTATGAGCCTTGTAACAAGGTCCAAATAAATGTCTCTCAACTGTATGTGAGTACAAATCACATGTAGCCGAGAAGAACGATCTCCGGCGGTGGTGATTATGAGACAGGTAGCACTACCCCAAGAGCACATCGATGGCGGGCGACCCCAAATGCTTGCGTGGCGAGGTGCGGCGAAAAACAAAAGCTCAAGAAGGTATAAAATATAGCAGCGATGAATGCAGGCGATCCCCGCACTACGCTGTAACTCAAATGGTCTGCGGTTATCAAAGTCCATCATTGAGCTCAAGATATGCAGCCAAAAGAAAAAACGCCGCTTGTATTATTATTTGGTGTATTTATTTATCTCCTTACTCATCAAGTCCAATCTGCCACGTCTGGTCAAAAAAGTAGACGGATACAACATATCACTCTTGCCTTCCTACTACTTTTTTCGGCAAGCGATCGCTTGGCGCTGTATGGAGAGTGCGTTAGTGTGGGCCCTCTCACATTATCAACGAAGAAGCGCGTGCTGCTGGAAACGAAGAGGCGTGTTTGTTCGCGAGATCTCGAGGTTGTGAAAACATCCGTCTGCGGTGCAGCGTCGCACGTCTCCCAAGAATCTTGAGCGGACGATAAACGACGAGTTGGAAGCCCTTGGTTATTTATAATATAGAGTAAATTGGTAAGTTACTTTTTACCGATCCCCATTGTCATTCACCGCAACCTTCTTCCTCTCGCATTCTGAACCCTACTCCTCTCAAAAATCACCACCAATCCCTCCTCCACGCATCCACCCTCTTAACAAGGGTAGATCAATGGCGAAGAGAAACGCCTAGAAGAAAGGCGGAGTCATGGCGAAGGAGTGGTGGAAGTCAAGGAGCAATGAGCGGACCATCGAAGACCACGCGCCATGGGAGTGCTCCACAACAAGGCACTTTCATGGATGGCGTTATTTATAATATAGAGTGGTAAGTTACGAGGAGAAAGCTTCCCCGATCCACAACCGGTGAGATTGTGGTTTTCGAGGATTTCTTCAAAAGCGGGTTTTGGGGTTCTAGTGCACTCTTCAGTCTTCAACCTCTTGTAGAGCTAGGTTCCTTTAGGGGCTCTGCTTATATTACGAGATTGGGATTTGCAATCGCATCCCAACTCGATTCTTCTTGTCTCCACCTTCATCCATCTTTGCGAAGCTTATGGTGGCTTCCACCCCATTTCGACCTCTTTCGCCATCTGCTCTGGCTCATGCGGAAGAAAGGGAGCGAGGCTCGAAGATAGCCGGGGGCGTATACCTCAATCTGTGTGGATCAGATGAAGGCCCTAGTACACCTTTGCCCATGGAACACCTCACTGGGATGAATGGTACAAGAAATGGTTCTACATCCGCTGAAGAGCCGAACACGATCACCACATGTGACGTGGGGTTGATTCCGAGAAGAAGAACAACTGGTCGGAGAAGCCCGAGCACTTGGAGCAGATCATAGAACTGCTCGGGTTGATCCCGTGGGGAAAGCTGGATGGTCCAAGCGTGGTCGGGAACTTCATCACCAAGGATC